GGGTGCAGGCGTTCTGAGACAGAGCAAGTCACTGGTTTACGGAAAATGTAGTCACTTTTTGTTTTTATAGACATTGCCAAACTTATTTTGAAAGCTTATAGTCTGTGAGCCAGAAGTCTTTCTTTAGTCCTTAAGAAGTAGTTTTTACAAAAAGTGGAAACATTACTCATAAGCAACTACAGAGAACTATAAAACACGCTTAGTGGAGATAAAAACATTAAACATTTACTCTATTTAGAAGTAAATGACTACGTGTTATGTACCTTCCTTATGGTTGACTTTTGTATTGAACAAATTCCAGATCTAACAGTTCTCTCAGAAAATAATCAACATTTCCAACCCCCATGTAAAAGTGTGCAGATAGAAACGTTTTAGCTTAATATACAAATGGAATAATGACAAACTTACTATTAACGAATCATGTGACTCTTACAACATTACTGGATTTTAAAAGAATGGGTTTAAAATAGCCTTCAAAGTGATATAAACTCTTTCCTACCAAAATGCTGACATATTAATTTCCAAGTTTTAAATTTACAAAATGCCAAGGATTGTCGGGATTTTTTACCTGGCTTCTGATTCCTATTCCAAGCCTGGTTATTTTCAAATTATCTAATGTTATGTAAATGGAATTATTTTTTTCAAGCCAAATACTGAATCTACATATGTTTTCATCTCAAATTTTATATGTTAATAATCAGGAGTGAGGAATCTGTGGCCTCAAGGCCACAGGGCCCTCCAGAGCCCCTCTACCGAATCCAAACTTCACAGAACAATCCCTTTATTAAAAGGATTTGTTCTATAAAATTGGGATTCAGTCAAAGGCCACACTCAAGGATCTAGAATTCATGTGTCTTTGATTCATGAGCTCTGAAAGACTACGCTATTGTTAATGGATTATTTTCTTGAATCTTTTACTGGCAATATTACAAGTGCTTGCCTTTATGTCTTATCTTTCCAAATAGACAAGTTCAGAGCTTTCAAAACAAGCCTATTTCTTTATTATATCAAAATGCAGCTGGCACTTTCCTTACGTTCAGATTCAACACTTTGGGGACCTAAATTAATGCACTGGGACCAGGGTAAGAGGATCTATCTACCAGAGAGACCAAGGGGAAACAAACCAGGCTCTAAAAAGTTTCTTCAGATAGGCTGGTAGAGAAACTGATCTAGAATTTTCTGAGTGACCTGGCAGAAGAACCTTCCAAACATTGCCTTGTGTTTATAACCTCACCAAGACAGAAATAATGGGGAGTATTTTGCATGCAGATATTTGCGTTATAATTCTGTAAATAAATATCAAGTCAGCAAAATACAAATTACTTGGTTGAAAAACAAATGATCTGTTGAGATTAGTTAAGGCTGCCAGAGATCCCCAGATACTGTCCTTAGGTGAGGTGGCAATCCTGTGACCTTCAGTGCAATGAAACTTCATGCTGAATCAGCCTGTGACACCCACAATTGCTAACTGGAGGGCAAGCACTTGTTTCCCCATCTTCTCAATAACTAGGAGACTATGAATGATATTTATTCACCTTACATACCACTGTTACTCAGAGCTTCTACTATAGATAAGGGCCAAAAACTTCATGAACTGGCCTGTTACCTTACATGGCTGATTAGAAAAGCAGTAACAAATAATTCCATCAGGCAGCTAATCGCTTTATAGCCCATACTGACTGCTGTTGGCAGAGATTTTTAGTTTGTTTTGTTCTGCACAACTGGACCTAGGGTCCTTTTTATGTGTCCGTTAGAAGATTGTTTCTACTGTTAGCTTTATAACCCAATCATTTCACATTTACAAAGTACCGGAGTATAACATGGTATATATTCTGACGGGTAAGATAATCCAACACGAATAATCATTTTAATATTCCTAGGAGAGGGTGACCTCTACTAACTCATTTTGTTTCCTGAAAAAGGAGATCGACGTTAAGTGGGTATGACAACTATTCACTGACAGTTAAACTATCTAAATCCAAGGCTACGTATTTCTCCTATTTTAACAGGTTTATAGTTTTTACTTTTCAAATATTTATAGTAAGAAACACTTCCCTCAACGTTTCTCAGCTGTGACTCTCATATTCACCCAAATGGCTTGAAAGTAATTCACTGATCGCCATGTCGAACTGGCACCTAAGAAGGGGCACCGTCCTCGCTTGCCTATGTTCTAAAGTATTTTAAATGGGGCATGCGTGCACACACACACTCCTTCACTCACACTGGGACTAATGAAAACTTGAATGAAAACGGACCAGCATAAACGGAGGAGAAAAGTTTTGGTCCACCAGGAGACCCTGAAAATCCTATCAAGGCTGAAAACACCCAAACATACGCGCACCTCCTCTTCAAATTCATTATTTTAAATTATCATTCATAAATCACCTCATTTCTCAACAAAGCAGTATTTTCGGATTTTAAAGAAAGCGCACATTTATCCTTCCCTCCTCCAACAAAAAAACAGTCCATGACACCAAAGACTCACACCTTCACTTGCCCGACAAAAAGGAGCTGCCCCAACAACTAGGCCATTGTTCTTGTCTAACTTCTAAGTGGCATGAAAACTACATTCCTGGCACTACATAATCTTCTTGCCCGACCCCCCAAGAACCTCTAAGTCAAATTCATTCACACCCAGAGGGCAGTACACTATTGTACACTTTCCACTTTCCAACCACCTAGGAACAATGGGTCGTAATTGCAACTGTCATGGGCAGTCACAAGGAAAAGTAACCCAGCAGTTTCTCCAGTTTACTGCCAAACCTGGGCGGAACACCTAATACCCATGTCCCCAACAGAAGAAAGGCCTACAGTTGCTTTTAAAACGCATCTGAAAACAGCTTTTTGAACAGAACCAGAGGACAATAACCAAACTTGTGCTCTGAATGTGAAGCTTAAAAAACTCAAAAGTAAAGACAGAAACTTCTCTTGTGATCTGAGGGTGGCTTCCTAAACCAACCCCCCAGGCAAGCCTGAAAGGACAGCTGAGCCTTCCTCTAAGCTTGTCATCAATGCTGTGGCTGCTTTTAAGTTCGACTTGAGAAGGAAAACAAGTGAGGGGAAAAGAAAAAAAAATGTTTGTCCTATAAAGAAATGAGATCCCAGGGCTTGGGAAAGGCAGTCAGTCTGTTCTGCTCTCCGTCATCACCTAGGTGAGTGGTGGAGAAAAAAGAACCTTGGAGAATATAGCCTCTGCCTCGTGTGCAAGTGGGTTAAAGTCCACTGAAATAATGGAAAGGCACTCCTGTCTCTGAAGAGGAAACTTCTCTGTTCTCTTTAAACTTTGTCTTTAAGCTCTTTAAAGCACATTGATTATTCCTCTGACTCATTTCATATAGCCTTAATACATGTAATTCCAAATTATCTGCTTGAAAAAGGAAACGTCCACTGAAACATTTTCTGGATGTTTCCAAGTACCCAGATGTTTATGTTATGTAGGCCAAACATTGGAGAAGACTGATACTTTGTTTTACTCCAGGATAAAATGATGGAATAGAGACTTAAGGAAGTCAATGGCCTCTCTCACTGGGAGACCATTTGCACAGACACAGATGTGCAAAAACGTTATTTATATACATATTTCTACACCCTATATGTAACATAATGTGGTGATATTTAAATACGTATCAGGCCCTACCAAAAATACGCACAGTAACATATAGCTAAATATTTTAATATTGGTGAGAAAGTATCTTAGGCTCATGCCTGTAATCCTTGCACACTGAGAGGCCGAGGCAGGAGGATTGCTTGAGCTCAGGAGTTTGTGAGAAGCCTGAGCAAGAGAGAGACCCTGTCTCTACTAAAAATAGAAAAATTAGTTGGGCATTGTGGCTGGGCACCTGTAGTCCATCTACTCAGGACACTGAAGCAGGAAGATGGCTTGAACTTAGGAGTATATAGAGTTTTCTGTCTAGATTTCTTGTCAAGTAGGCTGATGCCAAATTACTCTAGCCTGGGGCAACAGAGTGAGTCTATATCTCAAAAAAAAAAAATAAATAAATAAATAAAAATGAAAGATGACTAAGTATCTTGGATTTCTCAAAATTAATCTGACCTTAGAATTCAGAATCCTAAGTATCCTTTTAGCAATACATAGAAAACCGTAGATTGGCCATGTGTGGTGGCTCAGGCCCTTAATCTCAGTACCCTGGGGCCAGTAGATCCCTGGAGAATAGGCAGGGCAACCAGCCTGAGCAAGAGTGAGACCCTGTCTCTACTAAAAAAAGCCAGGTATTATGCTGGCCACCTATAGTCCCAGTTATTCCAGAGGCTGAAGCAAGGGTATCACATGAGCCCAAAAGTTTGAGGTTGCTGTGAGCTGTGATACCAGGACACTCTACCAAGGTGACACAGTGAAAAAGAAAAACCACAGCTGTCCACCATGTCTGAGACAATACATTTTCAATCTAAGGTATCAATTGCTTATCTATTTATATGAGGAAATTAAAATGTTCCCTCTTATTATTAGCAGAAGTTGTTATTCAGATTATGAATATTCAGTATCTACTCCACATAGAATTTCTCTTAGTTGGATGTAATTAACTAATTCAAACAAAGCGAAACCAGTGCCCTTAATAGTACAAAATTACCTTTTTTATGCCTTTCCCATTCATCATTTCTGGTTTTAAAAGCAAATTATATACTTGCATTGTGTACAATGTACGAAACCCCCTTATAAAGATGCAGTTTTTAACTTTGCTATAGGTTCCTTCCTACTTAAATAGTAAATTATTTAAATAAAAAAAAAAGATGAAAACCAAAGCCTGTTAAAGGCACAGTGGAGTTACTCTGCTAAAAACAACAGAGCATTTAGTTGGTAAGGCACAAAGAGAGAAAATAGGAACCCCGAAAATTTCCCTTTCAGAACAGAAAAGAATACCAAACAGAGAGAATGAAAAGCAGGATGGGTCGGGAGCAGAAGTACTTTATCACCATTAATATTCCTAAATAGCACCTGCATTTGGGTACATTTTAGATCAAAATAATTACAGACACATTACCTTTTATTTCACCAAAGTTTCCTGATCCCATTGCCAGAAGCTTGTCTTTCCAGTCCTTTGAGAGTAGCTTTTCAATACTGGGGGTTTCTAGGCAAAGGGGAAAAAAAAAATGTAAGCAAAGCAACATGACCACCTTTACAATGAAGCTCATTAAAAGTCTCTCCGTTAAAAATAAGGCCATCCCTATTCCAGCCCCAGCTCTTAATGGCTTTGTCAAAAAACTGATACCAGGGACAGAAAAAAAAAAAGAATGTGTTTTGTCACCTGCTGTTTCAAAATCATTAGCTTTTTCCTCTTGCAGAACAAAGCCATACTAATTCTTTATGACAATGGGTACATTTTATAGAGGTGAGGGGAAACTTGGCCTTTCCCCGGAAAGTTCCTTCAGAGATCAACTCACAATTAAGTCAGATTACTAAGAGAAAGGTCTATTTAGCATGCACACGGGGAGAACCACAGAGCTCAATAGCCCACTGGGATCCATGTATTTTTATACACACATTTTAGAGGTGTCGGGAGAAAATGAGGAACCCAGATAATTCTGTTTAGGGTGACAAATGGTGCTGGGGGAAACAAAGTGACTTATAAAGGGTCCTCTTTGCAAATTAATTTGACCTGAAGGACAGGTATTATACTGTATTTAGATGATTTGGGCCAGGTCTGGTTGTATTCTTAATTTTTTTTTTTTTCCTGTGTAGTATACTGAAGTAACAGAGAGAGAAAGGGAAGTCTGGCCCCTTTGATCTTTTGATCAGGTCAGCCTGGTTCACATGTATGGAGGGCAAGCCCCTTCTAATGCCTTTCTATCCAGAAGAACCTTAATTCAAAATATCAAGGAGTCATATTTGGGGGTCAAAGTCTCTGAGTTCCTTCAGTATAAACCTGCAGTTCATTGTTTTCGACCAATTCTTGCTATAATGGATGCTTGTCAATTTCAGGGTGTTAGTCTGCAGTCGAAAAATAATTATGTTGATAAAATGCAGAGTAAAAAGAAAGCAAAGAATTAGCTCTTAAATCTGCTACATGTAATTATATCCCTCTGTGTGTTTACAATTACATGCACTTTATAATATGTGTTTAACATTGTGTCGTGGTAAGCACACTGCGTGGCGAGACTTGCCAGTCTTGGGAACACTTTAAGAAAAGGAAAAGAGAAAAGTTGGTGTGAAAGAAGATTTCAAAAGATCCCAAAACCTACAGAAATGAGCGATGCTTATAACGGAACCTATCATTGGCTTATTTCATACTCCTTTAAAATGTCCTGTATCAGGACAGGGCACATACATTTTAGAGAACGAGGTTGTGTTTTTGTCTCGTACGTGTTTCTATATGTCACATGGTTGGTGACTTTTCATTTGTGTTGAATTGTAATGTATAAATAAATAGAAACACCACTAAAAACTGCCACACGTTACCCTCAGTTTTGAACAATATAATTGCGTATTCCTGTCAGCATTTAGATGGGTACACAATTACAGTAAGTTTCAATCCCCCGATAAGTACTGCTTTCAGTTAGAAATGGAATGTACTAACAGATACGTGTCCCAGGATGCTCCATCCAAGTAACAAAATCCACACCTATTATCTAGATCCAAGGCGTATGCTGTCATTCTGTGCAGGGGTCTTTATGTGTATTTATATTAGTTCAGGCATTTGTTTACCCCCTACCAGGTGCATAAACGGGAGTACATGTTAACTTACCAAAGGGGAATTCTCCCCATAGTGAAATACATCTTAGGGAGGTTTTTATTTTTTTTTTTTGCAGTTTTTGGCTAGGGCTGGGTTTGAACCCCCCACTTCCAGCATATGGGGCTGACGCCTTACTCCTTTGAGCCACAGGCGCCACCCCACCTTAGGGAGTCTTCATCATCATCTTTAGCTAACGCTACACAGCCATCCGCTATCAGAGTCACAAAGTCTCTGTAGAGTTTTCCACCAAGCAGAGGTGCAATTTCCTTGGAGACTTCTTTTTCAGAGGTCAAAAACTTGTGGACAATAAAATGGTGAAAAGCTCTAAATGATTACTCTTTCCCACAGTCTATCCAGACAGTGCAAATTCACAGGGTGGCCATAAACTTCCTGTACAATTCTAAATGGCACACTATGTTAAATTGCACGTGAACTTTATGTTCACCCCGTATAGAAGTTATTATATAATCCTTTACGATAACTTGTATATGCAAATTTACCTATGGAATGTGTGGAATGCAGTTTTTCCTTTTTAACAAAATACCGGTCTCTGGTGTTCACACTTAAGGAAAAAAAGATTTACTTTTGCTTTTTCTTAAAATATCCCTATTTCTATTACATATCATATTGTTTCCAAAATAGAAATGGCAATTCTACGGGCAGCAAAACACAGTAACTATCTTCATGCTGTAATCGATATCTCTGCTCATTGAGGCTTTAAAAGTAACTTTAAAATACTTCTGTAAAGATTTCTAACGTTTCTACCTTCCCCGTAAACACGATGTGAGTGAAATTATTTCTTCAACCTTATCAGAGTAGGTCAAACAAACACCACTGTTTCTTTTTTCCAGCACTCTACAAAAATTCTTGAGTAGCATGTAAACAGGGCGCAGCCAATATGGTATTTGCAATAGAGTACTGTCAGTCATTAAAAGCTAACAAACCTTTGCAAAGCAGGAATGCAGCAATAGCAATCCATTGTGCACTAACAATAGGCCCCTGAACCTCCAGGCACCAAAAGCAGACCATTTTACTTTTAAGGCTATTGTCTGCAAAGTTCACGACAAAGCTTTTCCCCTGCAGCTAGACAAAATATTCACTGTAGTGTGCTCATAAAGAAACAGAAGTCTTCTGTCTAAGTTTCAGAGTTAAAGAAACAGCAGCCAGATTTCTGAAACCTGCAGAACATTCCTGGCCTCTTTATTAACTAGCATAAAGATATAAAGCTTGGAGACAGAGCCAGTTTTATTAAGTACCTGACTTTTAGCATATACGATAGAAAAAAAAAATGAATGACTTCTTTAAGACTAAATTCTTTGGGAAAATGTAAAATCAGAAACATGTCTAACTCAGGCTTGTCACGGCTGGGGATGAATAAAGACACATTTTCAGATATGTATAAAAGATGTCTGAGATACATACTTTAAATTTAGATTCGAATACATGTACCGAGCAGCTATGCTATACGTTCTTACCTGTATTCTCTCATTTAATCACAGCAACCAAAGGAAGACTTGGATTATGTTATTACAAGTATGTTAACAAGAAAAAACAAAAAAACAAAACAAAAACAAAAGAAAAGCACAAAGGAAAAAAGATGCCACAAAACATAACCAGGAGAACTGAGGTCTTGAACTCAGTGATTTTTTTTTGCTACATTTCTTGATTCTCTTTATTGACAACAAAATGACCATGATAATTAGGGATTTCTTTTCTTTTTTTTTTTTAACTAGTGTTTTATGGGCTAAGCACTCAGCAGTGTCCCAGGTCCTTTACATGTGGTATCCCAAGATAATCTTCAATTAAATATTCAAGATAATCTTCTGAATTAAATATTCATATGCCAGTTTTACCATTTAAGAAGCCAAAGCTGGCCAGGCGTGGTGGCTCACACCTGTAATCTAGCACTCTGGGAGGCTGAGGTGGGTGGACTGCCTAAGCTTAGGAGTTTGAGACTAGTCTGAGCAAGAGTGAGACTCTGTCTCTAAAAAAAAAGCCAGAGACTCTGTCTCTAAAAAAAAGCCAGGCATTGGCGGCTGGCGCCTATAGTCCCAGCTACTTAGGAGGCTGAAGTAGGAGACTCACTTGAGCCCAAATGCTTGAGGTTGCTGCGATCTATGATGTTCACAGCACTCTACCGAGGAGGACAAAGTAAAACTCTCTCTTAAAAAAAAAAAAGAAACAAAACAGGGTGGCACCTGTGGCTCAAAGGAGTAGAGCGCCGGCCCCATACACTGGACGTGGTAGGTTCAAAACTGGCCCCAGCCAAAAGCCGCAAAAAAAAAAAAACCCAAAAAAACCAGCCAAAGCTTACAGAAATATCATGACTTGCCCAATATGTGCTAAATTTAGTGTACTGTGAACCCTCTCTTGATAAAGTTAAGAGCCACAAGGTGGCAACTGTGTAGTGGGGAAATTATTTATATTATATATATATATATATATAAATATATATTAATATATATAAAAAAAGCAGCTGTTATTCCCTATTTTGTTTTCCTATAATTGCGTACTACTCAGGAGTCATACAGCTGATGGTCTTAACTTTCTTTATTGCCCCCAGAGATAAAATCACCCTAGTGAAACCAAAGGCTAGTTTTTGTGATATCTTCCAGGCCTTGCATTCCAGTGGAAAGGCCGACCCACCCAGATTAGCAGCTCATACCAAGGAACTGACTCAACCAGTCTCGTCACCCTTACCCAGGAACTGACTCAGCAAAAGAAGACAATTTCTACAAGGCCATGATTCCACCCCAAATCCAGCCAGTTGGCAGATTGGTAAGGTACGTACCTGGTAAGGCTGCAACATTAAATACCAAAGTTTTTGTTCTTTCCAGCACATACACTGCTATGATTAGAATGGGCCTCCCCGACAGCAGGTATTGCCCATTTCACCTTCAATGCAACAGTGTCGGGAGGTGGGGCCTAACAGGAGATATATAGGTCAAGAGACTTTCACCCCCATGAATGGATTAAGGCTTATGATAAAAAGGCTTGAGACTGCCGGTTCCCTCTCGCCCATGCCCTTGACCTTCTGCCTTCCACCTTGGGAAGGTGTAGCAAGAAGGGCCTTCCTTGCCACATGCTGGTCCCTTAATACTGGACTATCGGGCCTCCCAAACTGTAAGAAAAAAAAATCATCTTCTTTATAAGTCTTCCAGTCTGTGATGGTCTGTCTAGCAAGACAAAATAGAGCAAGAAAACTGGTACTGAGGAGTGGGAAGGCTACAGTAACAAATGGCTGAAAATGTGGACGTGGCTTTGAAACCAGGTAATGGGTGGAGGCTGGAAGAATTTGGAGGAACAAGCTAGAAAAATCCTAGATTTCCTTGAAGAGAAAACATTAAGGAACTTCTGGTGAGGGCTAAGATGGAAATGAGAAGCAAGGTATTGAACAA